TATTTCAGTATATTAATGATATATGATACCACAGCCTGACATTTGGAGGTTGCTAATAATTTCCCTTATTGTGCACAGTAGCCTGAATTTGACAACCCTCCCATTCGTCTGTGAAAAAGCCTTATTTTGACCTTTTTGAACATGTGCTGTCCAATAACAATTGCAGTCCTCACTCACGTTCAGATTCATGATTAACTATGTATGGGTTTGCCTTATGCTTTTGTTCTGTTTGACTCTGATGAAGACACAGTAATGTCAAAACATTAGTCTGATGTGTTTGCACCATTAAAAGCAGCAAATGAATCAGTGTTCAGTGCTGCAGTTGTGTCTCTTCTGAACTCCTGTTTTGACATCTTTGTCAGGCTTTGGAATTAACCGTTTGGCATACAAGGATGTACCACTAAATTTTGATTGTTCCTTGCATCCATTTATGCTGTGATGCTTTCCTTACAGTATGTGTCAAATAAGGTAAAGAGAAAGTTAATATTAACTAGGTAACATACAGTAAGTGCATATACATGCACTGAGAGAAGACACAAACTGACGTATTCTCCATTAAACCTCATTAATGGATCCACTGTACTCAGGCTAATTCATGGCAAGGACCTGCTATGAACTATGAAATCCATCATATCAAAGCAGACATAATTATGGAATCCTGCATGTGTCACAACAGCATGGGATGCCAGGAATGCAGGTGGTAAGGCGAAGGAGGCTGTATCTTCAATAGCTGTTTTAATGATCTCCTCAGGATATGGCTGAAGTTAATGAAGTCTGTTCCATAGAGGCTTACCTTTGACCCTGCTCTGAATGCCCCTCGCCCCTGTCTGTTCTATTTTACACCCCTAGCCACTCTGGATGCTTTTTGGTTTGTTGACTTTTCTTTCCTCTCATTGTTTTCCCAGGACGTGGTGAAAGCTGCAGGGATGTGTGTCTCCAGAGTACAGTATTCTAGCCTTGGCACCAGCCCTATAGAGTCTGTCTTTTTTTTTCTTCAATATATTCCAAAATGGTAGAAGTTTCTCCATATAAGTGGTTACAATATTATCTACCATGTTTCTGAAAATATGGCATGCTGGTTTGTTTACTGTTTGATTTGACCTGTCAAAATATTGTTGTGCATTGGGTTTCAAAACAAATTAAGCAAGACTGTCTTCTCTTTAAGGAAATACAAATGAAACCCTTTAAACTCTCTACTCTGCAGATTTGGATATTGCACCACTGTGGGCCACAGTTGCCACAGAAAAGAGCCACTCATTCCCAGAGGAGGAACCAGCAAACTGTTTGTGAGAGAGAAACATGAATGTAAGCTTAGCATGAGAGAGCCCAGGCAGAGGGCCAAGAGCAACTCTGCGCTATGTAGGACGTTATAAAGCTGGGGCAATAGCTGATGTCTCAGGCCACGGCGTTGCACTGGTTCCCAACTCAGCGTCCAGACGTCCCTGTCAAATTTGTCCTGGGAATTGGCAAGCTCAACCCACCAGGGAAAGCAATGAGAATAGTTGAGAGCTAGACATGAGGCTAAAGAGTATAACGAACTAAATCAAAGCTTCTAAAAACATGGAAAGCCATGAGTATGCAATGAAAGATGCTTGCTTCCTGGACCCAGAATGGGCAGAGAAAACAAAACAGATACAGATCTGCATTCCTCTCTAGATGGACATCCAGAGTGGGAGCTAGATGACTACTGTTTTGCTTTTTAAAGAACAACAGTATATCAGGGTTTTTTTTTAATAAAGGAAGGGTGCTATTGTTAACTATAGATGTGCCAAACATACCCATAAAGGGTATTAATGCAGTTTCCCATTTAAAGCTTGTTGGCTTTAGTATTACATATTTTATGTACACCACATATACCCCAGCACTAAAGACTATTCAGTAACAGAGGTACTTCAATAACTTGTGTACTCATAAATCTAGCATTAACATGTTCCCACTGCAATTTCAGAGGGCCACACAGTTTTGTAGTTGGCTGCTCAAATGATTCACTAGAGAAATTTTGTTTTGTTTCATTAATTCATGTACACAGCTAGCTAATGGTATTCATTTTCATTTGGCACCCGGTGTTGTCTTGTCCTGCAGTGGGGTCTTAAACTTACAACAACCATGGAGGTTTTTTTAAGGGCTTAACAGTGTATAGTTGTGGGTGACCATGTCAATCACCTGACCTCAGTCCAATGTGTTTCACTTGTGAAGATCAGACTTAAGCTCCCAAAGCCCCTCAAACCACCACAGTCTGATGATGGCTACAATGGAGGCCTGGAAGAACACCACTAGAACGTTGTCAGACTGATGTTAGTAGATTATCCCCTTTAGAAAACATGGGTGGCAAAGGATTTCAAACCAAAATATTAAGTATTCTACTTTATGAAAATTCTAATATTTATTTTATATGTATGTTTATTTGTTCAGATACATGACAAATGTCTACAGTAACTATACTATGAATCTAGCATGGATGTTAACACCCATGCTGAAAGTTAGCACTTTATCCCCATGGTCATTTACTTGCAAATTCAGTATGATGGGGACAGAGCTATTCCAGACTGAGACACATTTTCTCAACCTTTGGTTCACCTAAAGCTGTCACATGACCTCTCTGTCGCATGTTTCTGTCACTTACTGCAATGCGGGATTTTAATCCCAAACTGCAGATCCTGGGGCCATACTGATTTGCTGCCTTTACAACTAGATACATGCTTTGAGCTGGTATCTCAGGATTAAGTCAGCCACTGATTAGATGGCTTGGATGAAAATAATAAGGCCTGAGCATCAAGATTAACAATGACTGATCTAAGAAAAGCTGGTGAGATGAGCTTCTTTCTTGTGAGAATTTACCACCCTGAAGTAGGGAAATTCCACCTCAAACATTGTGGTTTTTAAAGACAAATGAGATCAATCTGAAGCTGAAATGTAAATAATTAATGCTTTAGACTCTATTGGTGCTACCTGGCACCTTATGCAACAGATAAAATTGATACCAAGTCTCAAACTAAATCAATTTATTCCAGATGCATCATCCTTCCTGATGTGGCTAAAAGTCCTTATAATTGTTCAGGTTAGAGATTTGCTTTTGTTCTGTCTTTGAGAGATTGGATATATATACTATATGTTCACAGATCTTGACCATACCACCTAACATTGTCTAACTTGAATTTTGCTGTAGGCTAAATTCAGAAGTTTTTGAGGATTAGCCACATTCCCAGAGGTGTTACAGCCTGTCACCTTTGTAACAATTTGACCCTGTTAACTTCAGAAAAGTATTGATTGTTATTGCTTTGTATCATATCAGCAAACAGATGTCCATATTTCAAGTCTTTACCACAATTTCAGTTGATTTCTCACATGCATTTTAATGGAGTTTAGGGTGTATCCTTAGTTTACAGACTTATTTATTGATCAGTTTGTTTCCTTATTCAACCACTTTTGCACTGTTTCAGCCTTATCCAATAAAGTAGTGATCCAGTTTCCTAGTTCAGCTACAAGCACAGTGAAAAAGAAAGCAGAGGTGGTGGTGCCATCAATTACTGGCTAGGAGACTCAGGTGTAAACCTATGGCAGTTATGTGGAAAACTGTCTCTGTAATTGCATGTCATTCAAACACTCACAGGGCGGCATCTTTTTGAAGATGATAATTAGATGTTTTGGGTTAGTGCTAAATGGCGTAACGAAAGGGAAAATGTTCACAGAGTCTCCCTTCACACGTGTGTGTAGGCCAAAGCTGCTACCATGTTGTGTACTGTGTGTTGTATGTTCATGCCACCCTGTGGGACATATTTGTTCCAGCTGTAGATCAGCTCTTAGAGGAGACTTGTCCATGTTTTTTTGATTAGCGACTGTCTACATTACTGCTGGTTAGTGAAAACCTCCACTTTCCCAAAATGTCAGCTTTTCATAAAGTAAAAAAAGCCTCATTTTTAGCTTGATGAAAGTGCATATTTGACATTATCCAGGGAGTTCTCAAAGTGCCTTGAGTGCAAAAGATCAGGATGTTCTCAAGCTGTGGAAGATGTAATCCTTTAATTGAAGTTAAAATGCCCCTGGTTAGAAGTTAGGTTTTCACACAACAGCAATATAAGGACGGCAAATGAGAATAAAAACTATAGAGACATGTAGGTAAAGTCAAGTTTAGTTTCACAAGCACAGTATCAAGAAGAGAAAAAGGGTACCAACAATGTACGAAAGGGTGAACAGGCGCTGTCAGCCTCCCAGCACTATTGTCTTGTTTACAAAGAACAAGAGGATAGTGTGTTAGCCAGACCCTCGGTTTTAGTCAAATTCCTACAAGATTAGGCCACTGATTCTGCCCAGCACATCTTACATACCATGACAAAGATTGCATGACAAGCAGAGCAGAGGCTCAGGCTATGGTTTCTCTGCTTGTGCCAAACTGTGGGGTCACTTAAACTAAAGCAGAATAGTTTCTCACTCTACGAATGAATTTGCTGGTTTTACTAGGGCCCAGACTGAGCATGAGATTAAAGGTAGTGTGGAACTCATAGAAAGAATTCAAGCACTACAGAGTCACCCAGACTTGGCCTGTGGGATGCAGAACTAACAATTGTGTATGGAAATTGCCATAATATTTTTTGTTGTGGAACTAGAGCTACTGAATTTCTACAAGTTGTATTTTTAGGCCCATCTTCACTTTAAGTTAAGCTTCATGGGTTTATTTCAGCAGTTGGTATGTCTAGCCTACTTCTACAGCATGTGATAGAGTGTGCCCTCCAATTAACCACTATGTCTTACTATCATTTGCATGACCCAAACATGATTTGAATGCCAACAGTTGCTGTTTGGTGTCCCGATGCTAAAATGAATAAACGTTTTCAGCATATCATGGAATGGGAACGTGCCACCATGCTCTGTCCAGAAGTGAACCACTGGTGCCTGTGGTGGCTCCTTCCCAGAATTGGAAATGCTGCTACATGTACAAAAGTTCTCCTTAGGTATCTTTTTTTTTGTACTATTAACTATATTTCTTTTGTGTTTATCTATAGGGAAAAACTTCAACTTGGATGCCAATTTTCTGAAGCGGCACATCAACCTCAGATGTATTGTCAAGCAGCTCTATGGGGGTATGTAACCTACATGTTTTCAGTTAACCAGTTCCTGGTTAAATGAATCAGAAATACAAATCTCATGGTTCATACATTGCCAAATTTCCCACAGAGAGAGCAAGTCATTTGTGGTCTGCATGTTGATTTTTCTCCCCCTCACTTGTTTTTATGTCCTGTCCCTACCTGCTTGGGATATTGTTGAGAGCAGGCAGCCATTAAGTGGTTCCCTTGAGAAGCTACTGAGAGTGGGAGAGAGAAAGACTGCTGGACTGTCTATGGAGGGCAGTGAGAATCTATCTCCATGGCCCATCTAGTGCCTGTGACCCTTGGCCACCTTCTCATGGGACCAACATGGCTCTCTTCCTGTCAGTAAAGTTAATATCTTCTCCCTTGGGGCCTGGATGTTAAGGCAGCACTGCAGACTGAGATGACGGTTTCTCTCAGCAGGTCCATTACACGTCAAATTAGACCCAGTCTCCTGAGGTCAAAGGTTGTGTAATTCTGTCCACTGAGTTCGCTGTACATAGTGGTCAGGTAAAAATTCCAGTTAGCTATACAACAGATGGGTAAAGAGTTGTTTTCCCAATTGGGTAATTATACTTTGAAAATGGCAGGTTTTAAGTGAAATGCTATTTGAAAATCTACAGGGCAAAAAAACTTTTAAAGACATTAGTATAATGCAGGAATATTTTGTGATTCAGCCTATTTTTTTTCACCCCACAACACAAAACATGTTACAAGTAATCACAGTTTTTCTGTTTTCAGCACCTTACCAAAAACAAAAGCTATGAAATTTGTCCTGAGGTTTGCACTAAAGTAAAGGCCACCATTTTACTGAAATCAAATTTCATGGCAAGCTGCATATTATATTAATCATCCCTTTATTAGTCCCTCAGTGTGGAAATTTAAACAAACACAAACTGATGGCGGTACTGTCCTGCAAGGTGTAGCTCTGCAATGCGCTGCTCTGGCCATCAGGAGCAAAATGGACTGGGGAGAGCAGGAATTGAACCTTCTGGTTGGAAGACAAACGCTCTACCTCCTGAGACACAGTTGTGAAAATCCATCCATCCATTTTCTTCCGCTTATCCGGGACCGGGTCGCGGGGGCAGCAGTCTAAGCAAAGATGCCCAGACTTCCCTCTCTCCAGACACTTCCTCCAGCTCCTCCGGGGGAATGCTGAGGTGTTCCCGGCCCAGCCGAGAGACATAGTCCCTCCAGCGTGTCCTGGGTCTTCCCTGGGGCCTCCTCCC